ATACTGTGCCCAAGTTATGACAGTAATATGGTATTTGGGTTTGGCACGGCATCAGACTAATAATTTGCCTCATGCTCAATTTCTGTATGACATACATAATTGTGTATGATACCAATGATATATAAGATTATAAAATATCTTACAGATCTGATCAAAACTTGATTATGTCTATTTATTACAATACATTGTAATACATATAGCATCACAGTAAAATTATTGTTAAAACACTGTATTTGTGAAAATAAAAACCTTTATATTTTAAAAATCCGAACTTTTTTTAAACCAACCTGTTTTTGTTTTTAACCAGTTGATACTTATAATTGCATATTATAATTTCTTTATGCTTTTATATGTGTGCACCCATGGCCGAAGTGTCTATGACCGGTGGGCATTCCCCATACTGCGGTTGCCAACCCATCGGCGATTTTTTTTTGTGAAATCTCTTTTATGAGCAAATCTATGGAAGGAGGCCTATTTCTAGCAGTAAACTTTTATAGGCTGTAACTAAAGCAACAATTATTGTGAATATTAGTTATTTTGCATCATAAATATAGACGCATCATTGTTAACTTCCTGAAAGAATATGCAAATTAAACCGGCCGTTCGGGAAAAAGTTTATTGAAATTAGTAACATTTATTGTTAAATCAATTTAAGAAAATTTTATTTAAAAAAAAATTACATTTCAAAAAAAAAAAATTTCGGTCATCGATTTTATACGGCATACAACTTTTCATTCGATTTTATACGGTGAAATTGTTGGTGTGTCTTTCAAAGATCATGTAGCTCCTTAATAACTTAACCGCATGAAGTTATCATTCTGTCTGGATTCTACCGCTCAATAGCAGTGTTTGCACTGCTGTGTTCCAGTGTAAAGAGCACAGAGATATAGTATACATAATTACCGGAATAGAATAGAATGGAATAAATTTTTATTCAATATGGATTATAGGTAATTCTTATTATATCATATTGAAAGTATTTTTTTATTTTTTACCACTGGTTCGTAAAAAAAAACATTATGTTCTGGGAAGAACCAGCAAGAAACACAATGGGACTTTTTTTAAATAAAATTAATTACAATATATTATTTTATTATATTTCTATAATAACATTAATAAATTAAATTAATAAACAGCATGGTAGCAATCATTTGATTCCTAGGGGTTATTATCAATCATATTATATATTCTTCGGTAGTATAATTACCCTTACTAAACAATTTTTGAATAATAACATTTTTAAACCTTTTGATAAATAAGGTCTTCATATTTTTTGGTACTTTGATGCAAAAGCGTATATATTACTCCATTAATTGTGCGCGTTCTTAGTTTTTACAGAATATACGTCTATTTTTAATAAAACTTTACTTTACTTTTTTAAATAAATTTTTATAAATATATAGAGAAGCTAAGGTTAGTATGTTTATTTCTTAAAATATTTCTCTGATCTGTAAAATAAGGATAGTTTCAATGAATACCACATAGAAAGATTACATATAACATTATGCTATAGATATAAATAACTAAAATAAACTAATCTAGATGTTTCAACAGATGTAAGGCCTCTAATCTTTTTTACAGCATATGATGCAGAACTAAGTTTGCTGGCAAGTTTAGATGTAAATAAGTATGGGGGCCCCAATGAAGCTTCGCGTCAACTGTAATTCCTTAAAATCAGTGGATTCAACAAAACTCAGCTTTTCCCTGTTTAATATTTGGTGTTGTAAATTTAATACATTTCGTTTTATTATCGTACATGCCGTTAAAATAAATTATTGACGTGTAACCAGTGTACTACTTTTAATTTAACATCTTTCACTTCTTCATATTATAATAATCACCTTTTAGCTCGGAAAATCAATGAAACATCGTAACAAGTTTAAACGCTATGTTTTAACACCATTATGATGTAGTTTTCTGATTAATATCTTATGGTAAACATAGTCGAAAGCCTTGGAAAGATCACAAAATATACTGAAAGTGTCCTCTGAATTCTCCCATGCACACGAAACATTTTTAGCCAGCTCATCACCGGTTTCAGTTGTCAATCGATCTCTTGTAAAACCAAACTGATTTCATGGAGCAATTTATTTACATAAAAAACCTTAACATTTGATCTAGAACATTTATTCAAAAATTTTACTGAGTATTGGCGGTACAGAAATAGGTCTAAAATTAGTGGGGTACAATTTAATGTGTACAAGATTTAGGTAAATATATGTTTATCTTTACTACGTCTCATTAAATCTGGAAACAGATCATCCGGCTAGGTTGTTTTCTTAATATCAGTAGTTTTTAAATATCTTACAATATACATGTATAAGATACATGCAGAATATGAGGCATTCTATCTTAATTCTCAGCATTTGTAACCTTCTTAATTTTTTGACAAAGCATTTGTAACCTTCTTTGTTTGAAGTAGTCAACAGGTGTCTATGAACTGTGGATTTAACATCGGGTGGTCTATAGGTTCTATTGTCAGTTGAGTTAAAAAAATGTAGTGACAATGGTTCACTACATATTCCAGTTTAGCATTCCACTATCTCAATATCCTGCCTGCTATCCTGATTATAATATTTTAAATATATAAATCTACATGGACAACCTAATGAATATTGCTCTGTCAAAAGAAGTGGAATAATTTGCCTTTTCTTCAAGGCTAGACTGAATATGTTTTGACCATTTACCACCAGGTGGGATTGCGGTTAAGAACTGGTTCATAAAAAGTAAAAATAAAAAATACAGCTACTATTATTAAGTAGTCTATAAGTTGCCCCCAATCACTCACACACGCCTACATACATTTCATGTAAATTCATCTAGTAGTGTTGCGTGAATCGTGAATCGACAACGCAGACGCAGACAGATGGAATTTTTTTTAAATACCACTAAATTGGCTTCAGTATCATTTATTCAGTCACATGGACTTGTTTTTCCACGAAATGTGAGTTTACAGACATGACTTTTTCAGTGATTTATGATATATCATAAGTTTACGTTTTTTTTTCTACTAAGCCGGTGCTTATCTACGATCACACCTGATGGTAAGTGGTGAAGTAGCTTAAGATGGTGAAGCGCACTGGCTTAACAAAAGCCTATTCACTCTTGCCTTGAAGACACCCACACTGTAATCGGATGGAAAGACAGATGCTGGCAGCTTATTTCACTCCTTTGCTGTACGCATGATCAACGACGTAGCGAAGCGTTTGGTTCAAATGCGTGGTAATTCAACAACGAAAGGGTGGAGACTGGCCGAACATCTGTTTGTCCGATGGTGGAAGGGAGAGGGAGAAATTAAATTATGCAATTCCTGTAATACTTTCCGAAATGCATCCTGTAGAAAAGCGAAAGGCTGGCTACTTGCGTCTGTGTTTGAGGCTGGAAAGATTGGTTTTAACCAAATTCGGGTCTCTTTGCATGCCTTTCCATTGCGTCCAAAGCTGCTAGGTGGCATTTTGCAGCACTAGCCCATATATGGCAACAATACTCCATGCATGACCGGACTTGCACTTTATATAAATTTTTCTTTAATTTAAAAAAAATACCACTAATGGTGTTTAACATTACTAATATTCCCCTTAACCACATCTGGTAAGCTTAAAATGCTTGTGTTAGAAGTGGTTCACGACAGTAGTCGAATGGCGGATTCGAACCCACGACCTTGTAGTATGTAGTAGGTGTACGAGTAGATAAGATCGTTAAAAATAAAATGTTAACTAAACTTAGCCTTTTTCTTTATTGAATTCATGATGGATTTTTGTTTTTTTTTGTTTATATATATATATAATTGTTAATATATAATATTGAAATATATATTCAAATTTAATGTCGGTAATAACTGTATGTATGTGATATTCTAAACTTAGCCTTTTTCTTTATTATGAATTCAATATGAATTTTTGATGGATTTTTGTTTTTTTGTTCAATAGACTCACGATTTTTTTGATAAGAATCGGTTTTCTTTTGTGCGGATTTGTGGTCTATCAATCTTATGTTATGATGGGGATAATCCTGAAAATATTTACGGACATAGACTCACAGTAATATCTTAGTATTTACAGTAATTAAAAATCAGAATTTAATACAGAATCAAAGAATAAGTATAAAATTAATTTTGTAATATGGAAAATCTCAAATAGTAGATACAGATTAGATGAAAGGTGAAACTGTTTACCCGTGCACCCAATGTATTAAAAACGAACCCAATATCAAGAAACATCAGCGATAGTGGGTTGAAGTGCGGCTGGGGTGGTTATCGTGGACATTCACCTAATATATAAATCAGGCAGTATCTAATATATAAGTGTACAAGCACTGGGTGCGCGGCGGGTCGTGCCCCTGTCTAACGAAGCTCACGAGACGACGAAGGATTCTTTATGCTACATCATACGGCAGCGTAATATCTGAATTGTCCAAAAATGTGTATGAAAGGTATTAAATTGAATAAAGGGTTACAATTTTTTTTATTTTACAAACAAAGAAAACTGTTTTATCTAGTTATACTATTTAGAACTAAAGGAAGCCACACAATGCAATGCGTCAGCAGTGCGATGTTACAGCGTTTAGCAATTATTTCGCTGAACTGCATGACACAGAACCGGTGCTGTGATGCTTTGCTACAGCACTGCATCGGAAGTAGAATACAGGGTATATTCGTGTTTCTTTCGAGGTGAACTCCTCAAGGAATTAATTCTGCCCAAATGTAATTCTTCACAATATTGAAAATACTAAGTTCGTTGCGTTGCCGCTTTAACGTTGTAATGTGTTAATATTCGGTGAGATTTCGAGTAGTGTGGTACTGTGCGGGGTGATATTCTAATTCTAACGCCGAGATGAGTTTTTCGTAGAGAGTGCGATGAAATAGAGCATTCTTTCGGGATATTCTTAAGCGGCCGCCGCTTAGAACATTTAAATACAAAATCGTGTTTCGTCAATGTTGATTTTTTAAGCATTACTTCGCAATGCACCGTGTGGCCTATCACTTATAGATAATACATTTACTATTTTCTTTTCTTTTCGATGTCACATTTACTCGACATACATTTTTTTATAAGCAACTTGTAAAATAATATAAATATTGCAAAAACAATAAATATAACAGCAACTAAATCTAGGTACATCTTCTTGTACCAGGTGACATCCAGCGCTGGGGAACGGAGGTGTAAAGCGCCACCCGTGCGTATGACATGCTCCACCCAGTGCACTAGCTCATCTCCCGGGGACACTGGTCTATCGTGGTATATAAATGATAGTTCTTTTACTCTTTTCTTATATCTAGAAAATAAAGAAAATATTTTATATGCATATAGCAAAGGCATATGTTGGACTTTTATTTCTTCCTGTGAAAACCAATAGTTCACTTGTCTTAGCATCATAAATCCTCACAAATGGAAAGCAACTTTCGTATTTCATAGATTGACGGGCTCAGCAGCACCAAGTCGTCTGCCTAACTCAAGTTATTTAGACTTACTCCATCTATATGGAAACTAACATGTGTGCCGCTAAGCTCTTCGATCAGCTTATTTATATCGATATTATAAAGCCTCGGGACGTAAGACCTCCCTGCCTCACACCGCACTCAAGTTTAAAGGGGTCACACAATGCATTGGACCACCTTACAAAGTTTCTTTGTTTGCTATGTGGTATGATAGATAACATAGACACTAACAAAGCAGAAACTCCCGCCTCTCGAAGCTTTCCCCACAGAACATTATAGGAAACCAGGTCAAAGGCGATGAAATAGAGCATTCTTTTTCATCGAGAAAGGTGAGCAGGTCAAAGATTGAGGCGAGAGTCAAGCATACTGTCAAATACTTTAGCTATAGTAATTGCCAGTGAAATAGGTCTGTAATTACACTTGTCTACTAAGTCTCCCGTTCTGTTCTTAAAAACAGGTACGACTATAGTATACATAGAGCCGTGGTAGCTCAGATGGTTAGCGCTCGCGGTAAATTTCACAATACGCGAGCAACCCGGGTTCGATCCCCGCCGGCACCAATGAAATTGTTAATTGTAATTTTAAGTGCTGATTTACCTCGTGCTTGGTGGTGAAGGAAAAAGAAATATTTTCGAAGACATGTGAAGTTCGCCAACACGCATTGGGGCAGTGCGGCGGACACTTCCTTGCCCTAAAACCCTCTCATAAATGAGAGGAGGCCTGTGCTCAGCAGTGGGACGTATATAGGCTGTAACTTTATTTTACTTACTATACTATCCAGAAGCAGAATGTCCTAAACATAGATTGAAGAACATGGTCAACACTCTTGGTAAATGTATTACGGACTATGTCGGATGAAGCTGTACGATCCGTATAGACTAACAGCACTAACATCACTGAAAATAGATCTGCATCGTTCACCCTATGCACAGTTTCAAGAGGTGAGCTAACTTTAAAATGATCCTTCAAGACATTTGCTATCTCAGTATGGTGAATAGAGAGATATACACGTGATTGTGCATTCTAAATAATGGTCTGCTATATCGGACCATAAAAATGAAAATTTCGGACGGCAATTTTTTCATGTAGTGCATTGGTACCCTTATTTTCTCTGTGTGCTACTGTAGGTGAATCTCGCGTGTTTATGTATGTTGCGAGACACTTGTATGAAGCTTTAATCCTCTTGTTTACTCTGTTTGTACCCTGTAGTGCGCTACTGTGTTTACTGATGTTTATTAAAGGAATCTGGAATGGGAAATCGTCCGCCGGGCTACTCGAATACTTGTTGGCGAACTACAGAAGTCTTTGAATATATATTTTTTCAATATTTGAAACCTGGAGATTTGCTTGCAATGTCAACTTTACGGTCGAGCACGTAGTAAATCATTTAAGTAGTTGTAGTTAAAGCATTTAAGATTTTAATTTAGAATTTCGCTGCTGCTGGCATAGAATAAACCTGTTTTTATGTCTTAGCTTACATGGATCAATAAAATAAATATTTGAGAAAGGAAATAAAATGAAAAAAAATTACAGATTTAATACATAAAACAGATATTATATATTAAATATTAATAATGGCAGTGGCAGCGTACGAGAATCCACTACCATACCATCCCGTGGGTGGGGAAGAAGAGAACAGGGAGAAATTAAGCATAACATCTAATTCTATCTTACTAATAACAATAAAAACAATTAAAAAACAGCGGTTGACAAGCTATGTGTTTAGCGTAGCAACTATGGCAAATATCCACAATGAGATAATCTATAGAAGAGACTTATATTCATCAGCGGACTTTGGACAGGCTGTTATGAAAGAATAAATACATGAAGGGCTAAGTAAAGTTAAGTTACAGTCTATATACGTCCCACTGCTGGGCTCAGGCCTCCTTTCACTTCTGAGATAGTTGTAAATTTCATACTACGCGAGCAACCCGGGTCACGCCGGTAGCAATGAAATTGTTAATTATAATTTTAAATCTAATTTACCACGTGCTCAGCGGTGAAGGAAAACATTGTGAGGAAACCTGCATATCTGAGAATATTTCGAAGACGTGAAATTCTCCAACACGCGTTGCGGCAGCGCAGCAGACACGTCCTTGCCCTAAAACCCTCTCAGAAGAGAAAGTGCTCACTGAAAATACTGCATATGTATATTTTTTCTATATTCTGTAATAAGCAAATTAGTCTGGTGAACATTAAAAAGCATTTAACATATTATGTACAAGACAACAAATGTAAAATATTTTTTTAATAAAAATAAATAAACATAATACTAAGTATGAGTATGATATTTTAAGAATTATTTAAAAAACATACTTGGGATCACTGAGAATGTCATCGATTGCCACTTTTAAGTCATCGGCTAAAGAATATGTAAGGTCCACTCTTTTCGCGTAACCTTTTGCCACAGCCCTGTTAATATTATTAAACTGATCACCGTACACTGGTATTCCAATTATAGGTACGCCGAAGTGAATCGTCTCAGTCGAAGAGAGGAATCCTCCGTGCGTAATGAATAATACACAATTTGGATGAGCTGAAATATGAGGTAAAATAAAATTAAAGTCGCACCAAAAATATACATCCGAAAAGGTGATCAAGTTACAACAATTATATACACGGCGTTCGGGGTTGTTGGTGGAACATGAGTAAATACTCTGTGTTGTTCGTTTTGACGTTAAAAGAGTTTAGATCTAAAAGTGCGCTTCCCAGACCTAAAAGCCCATTGCAGTATCAAGGAAGTTTATATTCCTATAGTTCATATTATGATTAAAGTAACTATCATTTACTTAATGTAAAATATAATGTGATTAATATAATTCATTCATAAATTATTATTGATTTTTGAAAAAATATTTTATTCTTTTAGTAACCTAAATAAAGTAGTAGTAAGTTTTTTCTTTGACATTAAGAATCGACGATAGTACGATAATTTCATAATTATGACATAGTATTCTCACCAGGATCATAACAGCTCAAAACCAAAGTGTTTTTCAGGTTTTCTTAATGTACAGGACATTATTTAATAGACCAAGTGAGCGAGAAGCAGAAATAATTGTGAAAACAACAATTATAATTTTTTATGCGTGTTTCTGCCAGGATTGAAAATATTCCTCCGTTGGACCTTTTAAAAAATCAAAAGCTTTGACAAAAATAATCAACAAAAATTTCCATAAATTTAAAAAACTGTAATGTTTTCACTAAACAATAACAAAAATATAGTAATAAAAACAAAGTAATGTGGTGGCAGTGGCGGTGTAAGAATATCTACGATCCCGTATCATCCCGTGGGTATTGTTAGAGGCGATAGAGGGAAATAGTTCAGGAGATGGGCAGTAGCGTCTTCCTAATAACGGAAAAAAAAGCCAAGCTTGGCAACTATGGAAAATATCCCCCTATGAGGCAATCTGTGGAGGCCTATGTTCAGCAGAGTTAATAGACTATCGGCAACAATTAATTATCATTGACTTAAAAAAAAGATTAATCCTTTTATAAATCTAAATAAAATAGTAGTAAGCACAAGGGATCTATGTCAGAAAACATCTGGCCGCCGAGATTCAGCACGTCGAGCAGGTATTGCAAGACAAAAAGATTCGGGCCCCGCGTCTACGTCACAGAGACCGAGTGACACCGGCCACAGTCGAGCGTGTGCCTGATGTAGTACCCTATGTCAGGGGAATCATAGACAAGGTTGCCTACGTCTTGAAGCGAGCTTCCGTTCAAACATATTTCAAGGCGCCGAAGAAAATTAGTAAATTTTTACCATCCATCAAGTGTCATATCCCTCTAAAAAAGCTGGATTGTGAATGTGTTCTCTCCTACATAGGTAAACACAAAGATCTCTAAAAACCCGCGTAAAAGAACATATTACTAACGTGAAGCACAGACGCTCGGCGAAATCTGCAGTCTGTAAACATATTCAAGATCGACCTCGCCATTGCATTGGATTTGAGATTACAAATCCTCGCAAAAGAACACCGATTCCTACCAACGATGATTCGCGAGGTTAATAATATCATAATTTCAATAAAGAACATGGATGGGTGCTGCCATCTCCTTGGGTTCCTATAAATAATAAAATTAAGTCCAAACCCAAGCTTACCACTGCAAGACTTCAAGATACTGTAAGCTCATTCTGCATAGATCGGACTCAAAAATAATATCTAAATAATGAGGGTCACTTATCAAGATGAAAACTATCCTAGCTCTCAAATTGGAGCAAGTAAAACTTATTTACAAAATTTCATTGAAATCAGTTCATTAATTTAACAGTTCATCGCGGACTAACAATATGACACATAATTTTTCTATATATATATATATATATATATATATATATATATATATATATATATATATATACCAGCTGGCCAGGCAGACGTTGTTCTGAACTTTTGGACGACCCTTAAAAATATTGAGTGTCACTTATCAGGATAAAAACTATGTCTCAAGTTCGACCGAACTGCACAAAGTGTGTAAATTTCATTGAAATCAGTTCATTAGTTTAGGAGTTCATCGCGACTTTATTATTATTATTATTATTAGTTGTGATGAGAAAAAGAACAAATTTCGTGCAATGGGATTGTGAGATTTGGCATAGTTAAAGTTTATATCGAGAAGTAATGTAAAAAACTAAAATGTATAAGTGTAATGTGTGTTACAGATATATTAAACTAAAATAAATAAATCATATATTTACATTCATATTGTATTATCAAACAGATAATTGTCGCTTGGACAAATTCAAATCTAATCAATAGTGTGTCAAGCAATTTGGTGTTCTTAAAATTCTATCATAACCATATTGCTTCTATCATAACCATATTGAATTTATATATAATATATGAGTAGCCGAATATCAAGAAAACACTCAAATAAATCCATTTTATGTTTTCATAAAAGAATATTTTACTATTGCGATTTCGAAAAAAAAAACAGTTTGAAAAAAATTTACGCGGATGTCCGGATGTTGATTTTGTGTGGTCACGATAACTCCCGAAAAAATAACGTATTGAGACCGGGATTTTTATTAGCTTCAGAATTACATCAACTGGTTAACTATTTTATATCAATAGCCTAGTACGCGTAGTTTATTATTAAAATGATCTTCAACTTTTATAAGTTTTATTGCTATTAAAAATTTAAAGGCGCTTTCATATTTTTTTTTGTCTCCCTTGATGGACAAAGGACAAATAATGTGCCATAGAGCGTAAATCGATTTTATACTTTGTGTAATCGAATTACTTTGGTGAACATTATTATTTTTTTTCCTGTAGGTGACACTAGCTTTTAAAATAGAAGAGCACTACATTTAAAATACGTAAAAGTCAAGAATACAATTTTTTTTCCATAAAATTTAAATGAAACGCTCATGAGGCGTGCACTTTTAGATTTTCCAAACTATTTTATGTTTTATATATTATATATCTACGTGTTACGGCCCACAGCTGCCGCTGTAAAGGTCGCCTTGGCTAGAACCCATAGTAGCCTCTTCGACGGACAGCCGTGGGTACGGGCCCAAATGGCCTTATGGAAAAATTATCTATCATACTGCAATAGGGGAAGGCTAGGAAAATAAATGGTACGTACCTGCATCCAAATCTAAGACCGCCCCAAGGCTCGGTCAGGCCGTAAGTAGAGTATATGCATGTAAAGTGGTGTTTAGTGGTGTGTATATGAGGGTGACCTGGCCCAGCTGAGGTGGCCTGGCAGCGCGACGGTTTCCATGCTGCCCTACAATGCTGCATCACTCCAGCAGGCGTCCACCATGGACAGTTTCTTTCTTCATTGTCACTATTTCAGTCAATTAACTTTAATGTATATTTAACTAACTTCAACTCGACCAATTCAACGTTTATCGTAGAATCGAACACGTGATACCCGACACAGTAACGGACAGTAGTTCAAAATTCAACATTCAATGTCATGGATTCATTTATCGCCAAACTACAAATAGGGAACTAACGCGATCTCTTCATGAGTCACACGGTTCAGCGTTACAAACACAACTAAGTTTCTTCGTTCGATGTTAAACACCACGACGCAATAAGAATTCAAAATTAACCTAGCTGACACGCAAATTAACTACAAAGTCAACACACAAAAGGCTTTTAATGCGACGGTATAATTAAACAATGATTTCCAGAACAATAACCCGGGAGACGCCCTAAACCAAGGCGGTTTTCACAAAACCCCAATTACGTAGCGAAGTAACACGCACTAAATCTAGCAATCTAGACCGTACACCGGTCGCGCGAATCTTCTGCAGCGATAACCGAGATACGCGGGTTAACCGCACCGCTGCCAGCGAGCTACTGTTGGACTCGACCCGGCCGCCGGTAGCAACTAACTCCCGCCAACCGCCCACTCGTCTAACCAGTTATGAACGCGCCGCATCGAGCCGAGCGCGAGCCGGCGTCAAATCTTGAAACCAGCGTTTGGCACGAACACTATGGTTCATACGTTAATGTGCAGATAAAAATAGGTGAAATACAACTTATCTAACATACCGACCTACAAATTTTATGAATAACTGTTGAACTGAAGTGCCGAACTGTCAACTCACGAACGAATGTCGAACTGTAAATATAAAAACTAGATGGATTCTTTGTTCTTACCTAAAATACTTTGCTGAGGTGCCCATTGTATTATATGCACATTCTTCGGTCTATCGGGTAGATTGTCTTCAAATTTCCAAATTACGGTTTGCTTTAATTCACCAAAAACTTTCAGTAGACTTCTTTTAAGCTCAATCGGCAGTTCCTTGCTTTTTATGTTCGAGCCCATACTAAAATATATTACGCCATTTTTCGCATTATCTATTATTTTCTTAAGATCCTGAAAAAGTCAAGATAAAAATATTGATACTTATCTTTTCTTTATCAATAAAAAATACCAACCGGTAGCAACGTAAAATATTCCACGATACTTTTCTGTCCCGTAGGTACCCTTAGAGGTGACTATGGGAAAGGTAGAACGATCTCATGGCTTCCGATAGCACCGATTTGCAAACCAATCTCGGGCAGTAGCTTCAAAATTGCTAATTATCGATGGCTGATCATCCGATCCTGTTGCGACTGACGCCAGTGTGCCTCAGGGGTCCGTTCTTTCCGCAACTCTCTTCCTGCTGCATATTGATGATATGCTTATGCCCGGTATTTATGGTTATGCAGACGAAAGCACAGTTGATGAGAGATACCAACCAAGTTCTCGAGCCAGTTGGGATCAAATCCAGTCCGAGAGAGAAACTATGTTTGAACGTGTGAATCTCACACTATAGGCAGATTCCGAATGGGTCTATGCCAATCTTGTGAAATTGAATGCTTCCAAAACACAAGCGTGTCTCTTCACTGCAAAATGGAGTCAACTCATCTTAGCTCTTTCTTTCCGAAATGTATCACTAGAATACATCAACCGCTTTCAGTTGTTGGGGGTTGACAAATCCTCTAATCTGAACCTGGGGCGGTTCATTGAGTCCAAGGCCAAAGCAGCTGCAAGGAAGCTAGGAGTCCTTGCAAAGGTGCGGTGATACCTCACGCTGGGACAGCTGCTTATCTTTATATATAAAAATTACGTGTCGTTGCTAATCTAAGGGTTTTTTTTTAAGACAGCAAATAATGGTCGTCGGAAAGGGCAGAACAACGTCTGCCTGGTCAGCTAGTTTTGTATAAAGCGCAAGTCCGGTCGTGCATGGAGTATTGCTGTAATATATGAGCTGGTGCTGCAAAATGCCACTTAGCAGTTTTGGACTCATTGGAAAGACGAGCTAAGAGGCTTATTGGTGAGCCCGAAACACAGGCGCGAAGTAGCCAGCCTTTCGGTTTTTAGAGTATTCTCATCTGGTTAGGCTGAATTATTATATAAAAGGAAATGATAAATATACTTAAATATATAGTGAAGATAAATAAATGAAAATTAAATAAATAAATAAAAACCACACTAACAATAAATTAGGAACAAAGGGACAGAAACCGGCGGTCGATGTGTGCGGTATCAAGGAGCACCGCCTTCTACCCGGAGCGTTCCATCACGAAGTCCCATTTGTCTCAGAAACCGAGGGTCTGACCGGGATAAGCCAGTTCTCAGAAATTACTATAGGTATAATTTCGGTCGGCAGATCACCCCACATGTCGGTCACCTTGTGAGCCAGGTCCAGATATTTTGTTCGCTTATCTCTTTCAGCTTTCACGAGGATGTCGTCATATGTAATTATAATGTCAACCAATAATATTCTTGACCGTGTTCGGTCCATCAGCAAAATATCAGACTTATTCGCAAGAATTGTCCTGTCTGTGAAGATTGCCCGGTTCCAATAGAGCCTCGCGCGGTCATTATCGAGCAAGACTTCCGGGAAATACTTGTAACAAGACAGTTTCTAATCGACGACGACGACGATTTCAGAGTGAGCTCCTGGTGTAAAATCCTGGCTAATAGGTTGTGTCTGTACAAATACTCAGAGTTAGAAAGTGCCAAACAACCGAAGATAACATGTCTTAGGCCTCTGCCTCGAATCTTGCTGGCAGCGGGGTGACAGCGGCAGCGGCGCGGGAGCGGCAGGATCTTATCCGTAAAATCAAATGAACCGACCTTCGAAAATAGTGGCGCGGAAGCGGCGCGGTGGCGGGCAACGAGCGGTGCACTCCAGTCAAGCGGTGAGCGCCCGCGCGTCTGCATTGCAGTGTTGTGCAATTTATTTTTGTGATGTGTTGAAGTGTCTTCAGACGTGCAAGAGCAAATTTATTTTAGAATACTACTTTTTAATGAGTTTGACAAATGGAAAAATTCACGCCAGTACAAAAGTTTAGCGTGAGACAAAAATTTATCAAGCTCTTCTAGACGAGTTAAGTGTAAATGAAGGCATGGGTCCATGCCTTCTAATGAATCATATATGTATGGGTATAATACTCAACACTAGGTATATCAACCTTATAATAAAAAATACTTTCAAATAATAACAAATCTGTGATTGTAGAAATAACTAATCGTCATACTTCGATATCGTAATTTTGATAAAACTCGCCTTTTTTTTCCTTGCCCTATAGTAGAGATTCACTTCTTCTTTTGCCCACAATAAATTGAGCCGTTGTTCAGACATAATATAATAAAAACAAATATCTCGACAACACAACTATAAACACATCACTACGCCGCTATAGCGTCGCGCGATCTTCCCGCTGGTTTCGAGAACGAGTCTGCGTTCCCGCCCCGCTCCCGCGTCGCCACCGCCGCCGCCCCGCTGCCCGCAAAATTCGAGGCAGAGGCCTTAGTGACTCACCGGGATGGCGACAAGCTCGACAGATGTCGACGGCACCATCTTTAAGAATGTATTTCCGATAGTTGTTGGTATTAATAATATGATCCTGTATTGCAAAGACAAAACCGTCGGTTTTTTGACTCATTGGCGCTACAAAGAGCTCTCTTTACATATTCTTGCTAAATTTCGCCATTGCACATTGTGAAAAAACTCACGACATCTGCATACCATCAAGATTATTGGCAGTTCACCACTGTGCGATTTAACAGAAGTTTTTTTCTTCTACAACTTCTTTATTGAATCTCATTTTTTTTAAATACTAGTAATGCTATTAAACATTACTAATATTCCCTTTAACCACTTCTGGTAAGCTTAAAATGCTTGTGTTAGAAGTGATTCACGACAGTAATCGAATGGCGGATTCGATCCCACGACCTTTCGAGTTCGCGGTCCGCGCACTGCCATTAGGCTACTGACGCTTCCGCCTTCTCATATTTGACGGCCTTCCTCATTACCAGTTTGGTTTTTTATAGAATAAGGGCGACAAATGAGCACATAGTTCACCTGATGGTAAGTAGTTTCTGGGGCAATTTATCCTCGAACCAAAATGCAAATACGTTGTCACGCTTGGAGACTAAGAAAGAATGCCTCGTTTCCAGTGAAGTCTCCGGTTCTCTACACTCACCATACGAAACACAGCAGCATTAAGCTGATATTTTACGTTGGTATTCTGTGCGCGGTCTTTCCCTTTCCCGGTTGAGCCGACCCATTCGTGCTATAAATATACTATTAATATAGCTGCAGCATGGCTCTACCACGTATTTTTTTTATTTTATATCTGTCTTAATCCGAATAATTATTTCGTCATTCGAAAGCCATTAATATTTTTTGGCTTTGCTTATATAAGTGACTGTTTGAAGCTAGAATTTGGAAAGGGAGTAATGTATTATCATAGTAAGGGATAAGATTTTAGCAATAGTTAAATCCTGAAAGTATATATCCCAGTTTTTGCTGTATAATTTCCTTTTGGCGTTATTATATATTATTTTCTATTTCATCGGAAATGATTCGAGAGCAGGGACGTGCTAGTAGGAAATGCCTTTGCAGATGACAAAATTTAATGGATATTTTTTTAAATATTGAAAACGTTTTCTTGTAATACCTGGGGTAAAGGCTTAACTTCCTTCTCAATGTGATATCCTGCAATAGGCTTGTAGCTTTGTGGTAAACGAGTTGCCTGCCCAATTGACACATGAGAATTTCCAAGAACTAAAGAAATATTGTTTTTTAGTTCCTCAAATGAGGGCACAGGTTTTCCTCTTCTTCGAACGATTGGAGCGATAATTCGTTCATAATCTTTGTTTTCGGTAGGAGAAAACACACTGTAAATCAATGAAAACGTTAGACTAAAAAGCATTATAAAACAGATCAAAATATAATGTTATTTTTATACAGTCAATGCCATGTTAAATAAGGAGAAAAGTTGAGACAAAATAAAAGTTCCTACGGAAAACACTTTTTTATTACATCGCTTTCCCCACACTAGGAATTTTTCGTTTATCGTGGGGGCTTTTATCAGAATAAATTGTATATCCCGTAGGTCCCTTGTAGGATTTGAAGCCGCAGCTCGCAGAACTGCAGCTAAATGTAATAAAAACCAAATGTGCGAGGTCTGGCGTGTAACGATTAAAGCAAATGGGGAGATGAATGTCCAACAGTGGACTTCTACGGCTGATGAAGAAGAAGAAAACTAAGTATTAAAATATTTGATTATAACTTACAAGTTTTGATATAATACACCAAAAATTTGGTAAAACAATTCCTCTACTCGTTGTATAAACGTTAAAGGTGGCAAGTTATTAGAAACGACATCTGCGTTGTACGCTGTGTTTGGTAACTCGTCGATAATTTTTAATATCATCCAGTGTGGTTCAACTGTTGAGAACCATATGAAAGGACATTCAAATATTGCTGGAAGTCTAAAATACAAAATATTAAACATAAGTATTATTCCTTAATAATATTTTTACATTTAATTCAGGTTATTGTGACGAAAGTTGTAGTGATTTTTGATTTAGACAGTTTGTTTATTAACCTTAACTCAGGCTGCTTATCGTTTCACCATACACGTGAAATTTAAATAAAAATCAAAATGTAACGTAATATGATAATTTATTGTAATTATTCAAATTCAAATTCAAAATAATTTAATTGTAAAACATAGGTACAAAAGATACAAACTTGGTGGAAAATATATGATAAGTATCACTTTGTTTCGCCTTAGAAGGCATACAAATATTTGGTTAACATGATCATCACTTTCATTACTAATATAAATATTTAATAACATTACAATTTCAATAATAATTAGTATATTTAGGAAAAATTGCATTATTTATTGTTTTTACTATCCATTACATAATTCTTAATAACATAATGATACAATAAAATAAATAAATCGGACATTAATTGTAGGTACTAAAAAAATAATAAAAATTAAAAAATTATTTGTCATAAAAATAACGAATATTTTTATGACAAATTATTCATTTTGTCATAAATATATTCGTTAATAGAGTAATATGCCTTTTCTATTAAAAAACCCGAAAGCAATTTCTTAAATTTGTCTAAGTCTCTTTGATGTTTTTGGGAGTTTATTAAAAATTTTAGGAGCCATACCCAGGAAACTTTTTGAATATAGCGCTATTTTGTGCAATTTATTAAATTGTTTAATGCCGCAATGTGTTTCTGTGACGTTTATTATTAGTGCTTTCAAATATGCTAAAATGTTTCCTAAAAACATAGCTACTTTGAATATATATAAAGATGGCAGGGTTAGTATGTTAAGATCAATGAAATGCGGTTTGCAACTATCGGTAACCTGCAACCGGCATACTGCTCGTAAGCATTTCTTTTGCGCTTTAAAGACTAATTCGCGATCTGTCGAGTTTCCCCAAAATATTATACCATATCAATCTCAATTTTGAAGAGACGTATGCATGGTAGGCGGTTATGACTGTTTCACGATTTGTAATTTTTAAAAGGTTATGTAGTGCATAGTGGTATTGATTTATCTTTTTATCATGTGTTCAATATGTTTTCTCCATGTCATTTTTTCGTCTAGCCGAAGTCCCAGAAATTTCGTATGTTCTTTTTCATTTATAATTTTATTTTTATAGTGAATATTATCTTTTTTATTGTAGTGACCTTTGTTTGAATGACATAATATGCGTTTTAACTAGATTAATTTTAAGATTATTGACATTTAGCTAGGTTATTGTCCTGCATACATTTTGATAATGAATTGAATAAAATGATAATCTGCTTCACATGAGACTTTGTCTTGTCCAGTGAATAGGACTGTGCTGTCATCAGCAAATAAGGCCATAGGGTACTGAGTCACTTCCGGCAAATCATTTATATAGACTAGGAATAGTAAAGGACCGAGTACGCTTCCTTGCGGCACGCCGTAGGTTGTTTGCTTTTGTTGCGAAAGGTGTGTTAGTTCAATATTAGAACGCGGACAGATCTTTTTTATTTTAGTAATTTGTTTTCTATCGTTTAGGTATGATGTAAGTTTTAACACATTACCTCGGACTCCATATTTTTCCAGTTTAAGCTCTAGAATATTTAAATCAACGTAATGAAACGCACTGAATATATAAATTATTTAGCTATAACATTGAGTATAGCTAAATAATTTAAATTGCAGGGCTTCTGTATCAAATGCATACTCCATACACTTAGTATATTATATATAATGGACACTTACCCAGCATATAATTCATTAAACATCCATTCGGCAATAATTACATCAAATTTTTCTTTCGGATTGTTTAATATATTTTGCATATTTAGGTTCTCCAGTGTCCTAATACAAACTTCTTTAAACATTGTGAATAAAAATGTGAAATCCTCGAAACCACGTTCTTTATCCAATATTTTGTGCACATTTACATCTTCATCTGTAATAAATAAATTAATAAAGTGAGGTAAAGATCAATTTTTAGATAAGTATTTAAATAAAAAGTAGCCATTTACCTAGAAAGTGGAGAGTACTATCACCAACATCGATTTCTCTAACATTAGGATCTGGTTTATCTTTAGGAAACGAAGTAATAATTGTTACCTGAAAAGAAAGATATAATAACACAATGAAAATCTAAAAAATATTACAGCAAATATTTAATTATTCGTGTTTTTTTATATAGAATAAGGGTGACAAACGAGCACACACTCCACCTTAGTAGTAAGTGGTTGCTGTGGCCCATAGACATCGACATCTATATTCTTTTGCGAATTAAAATGCAGATGGGTTGTCAACCGTGAGGACAAAGTTCGAATGCCTCTTTTCCAGTAAAATGAGTCTCCGGTTCTCTACACTCCCCATGCGAAACACAGCAGCATTAAGCTGCTATTTTACGCTGGTATTCTGTGAGAGCGTGGTTCTTCCCCGGTCGAGCCGACCCATTCGTGCTACAACTATAATATTAATATACCTGCAGCATGGCTCTACCACGTAAATGTGCATTTCGACAAAAAAAGGCTTAAAAATAAAGATCGAAACTTTATAATATATTAATGGAATCTAACTAGAAAAATATGACAAGAAGATGACCACTCTTCATTTGATTTTTTGTACTAAAATTTTCGATAATTGTTACAAAAAAGTGAATTCAAATTGTGAAAAATATAAGAAGTGCTATATCTTGATCAATGCTGATGATTGTATAAATAAAGACATGTAAATCAATAATTATGTCAAACAAAAGTACCAAACAGGTTTACAAAATAGTAAACCCTAGCCCTCAAATCTTCTGTTAAAATAAAAATTAAATTCCATTAAATGTAATAAATAAAATACTTAAAATTTCATTTGTTAAAAATAGTCTTACTTTTTTGATCATACCATCTTTTAAAATAAGTTTCCTCTGCCTGGAGTACGAAAAGTAACGAAAGAAACGGGCAAAGACACCCTGGATGTATTTTCTTTGAGGTTGTCTTATAAAAGATTAATGAAACAACATTATATTTTAAAAGTGAAAAGAATTTGACCTATAAGTATTAGTAAAGCATAATATTGTGTACAATAAAACTATAAATACTCGGCGGACTATTTGTATTTGCGTAGAAATCATGCGCAATGCACAATTGCGCATGATTTCTACGCAATCATGCGCAATTGTGCATTGCGGCTCCGTGGCGCAGTGGCTTAGAAATGAGTTGTTGCGCTGGGAGCTGCGGGTTCGAATCCCGCACGGAACAAGTATTTGTATGGCCTACAAATAATTTTTCCGGGTCTGGATGTTTGTCCTCGTGCAATTTGTGTTTGTAAAATGCCTCCGCGATACAGGAGAGAAAATCCTAGTGTAGGGGTAACGTTTAAAAAAAAATGTTCAGCGTCTATGATGAACAGGCTAGTGAGAAGCACCAGCACCCTCCTCAGCAATACTAATACTTAGTATTCATTACACATATGGCTAAACTAAGCTGTCCTATCTGGTGGTGTTGAAATGGTGCACACATAGGCAAATGGGCGGCCAGACTAGGTGTTTTGTTTTTATAAGGCCGTGTTTTCTTTTTTTTTACTAAATAATTAATTTGTAATTTAGCCATTGTTGTTTGCGCTTTTTTGTTTTTGTTTTGTATTGTAGTTTTTTCTTAAGTATTTAGTTATCGTTTTTGGGCTTTGCCTGAAGTAAATATTATAATAATTATTATTTTATGGTGTGTTGGTTTTTGGTTTGTATATTGTAACTTCTATGTTGTTTGAAATTAAATAACAAACTGCTGGTTCACAATTTTTAAAAAAGTATGAACTATATTGGGTGAGGTGCGAGCGGTGTGGATTAAATATTTTCGCGATTCTAAGGTTGTGAAGTGCATGCGCACTCACCTGGACTTCTGCTGATCTCCTCGTGCTTAAGGACTGCAGCGACCATGATTTGGCGCCGGCTTCCTCACACATATAAACTTCACAGATAATCGCAAAATATAGCATTATTGTAAACTATATAAACTTATTTTGTATAGTTTAATATCTAAATTACATAAAGGTTGTTGCGATGGCGCGAGATTAAAGTGGTTGCTTGTACGTGTTTTATTCGAACCCCATTAACACAAGAGTGCATATGCTAACAGAATAAAGGGGGGGGGGGGGATAGATAGGAAACCCGGAACTACTTGAAGTACTATTATTTGATAATAATTAACGAATCACATAACCATTAGGTGGAAGTGCAAAAGTGGCCCGAACATCCCCCGACCTTGAGATAACCTCAAATAGCAAAAGAAAATATTTTTTTTATAGGAGAGGGGGCAAACGAGCATGCGGCTCACCTGATGGTAAGTGACTACAGCCGCCCATGAACAACCGCAACACCTGGGGAATTGCAGATGCGTTGCCGGCCTTTTAAAAAGGAGTAGGCTCTTTTCTTGAAGGTCCCTAAGTCGTATCGGTCCGGAAAAATCGCTGGTGGTAAACTATTCCACAAGTAAGTTGTGCGAGGAAGAAAACATCTTCTAAATCGTACAGTGATGGACCGCCAATCATCCAGATGGTGTGGATGGTATCGGGAGTTCTGCCGCGATGTGCGTTCGTGAAATTTGGCGGCTGGGATTAATCCGAACAATTCCTCAGAGCACTCCCCATGGTAAATGCGAAAGAAAATGCAAAGAGATGCAACATCTCTTCGCAGTACCAATGAGTCGTGCCGATCGGAAAGGACTCGGTCGTCGACGATTCGAGCCGCTCTGCGCTGGATGCGGTCAAGTGGAAGGAGCTGGCACTGGGGAGCCCCAGTCCAAAGATGGTAACAGTATTCCATGTGAGGCCGAACCTGCGCCTTGTAAAGTTGCAGGCGTTGAGCTGGCATGAAATACTGTCCCGCTCTGCTGAGCACGCCAAGCTTTTTAGAGGCCAATTTGGCCTTCTCTTCCAAGTGACCACGAAACTGCACGTCACTCGATATGTCGACGCCGAGGATTCCGATACTGGCTGAGGCAAGAAGGGGAGTGCCTTGAAACTGAGGAGACATGACAAAGGGGTTCTTTTAGCCGTAAACGCGCAATCTTTTGTCTTCTGAGGATTAAACTGGACTAGATTTAGTCGCCCCCAATCCGAGACTTTGTCCAGCAAAGACTCAACTTCAGACACAAGTTTGTTCCGGTACTCGGTGACGTTATATTGGGACGGCCGGTGTATAGAGCATCACTAGTGCTGTCATCCGCATAGCAATGAATGCTACTGGCTTGCAACTTATCATTGATATGCAGAAGAAACAGCGTTGGTGATAGCACGCAGACTTGTGGAACACCAGCGTTAATAGGCTTGTAGTCGGAGCATGCATCGTCTACAACGACCTTGATGCTCCGATCTGCAAGAAAGCTGGTGATCCAATTGCACAATTTCTCGGGAAGCCCATAGGAAGGGAGCTTCGAAAGAAGCGTTTTGTGCCAAACCTGATTGAAGGCCTTCGCAATGTCCAAACTAACGGCCAATGCCTCCCCCTTGGACTCTACTGCCTCCGCCCATCTATGAGTTACGTAGACCAGAAGATCACCAGCTGATCGACCCCGACGAAAACCGTACTGGCGGTCACTAATCAGCTGGTGATCCTCAAGGTACCGCATGAGGTGGCAGTTTATAACGGATTCCATTAATTTGGAGAACAAGGGGGTGATGGCGACAGGCCTGTAGTTGGAGGGGTCTGAGCGGTCGCCTTTTTTAGGAATCGAGTGGACAAAAGCTGTCTTCCATGATTTCGGGACTACGCCTAGGGAGTAGGAGTACCGGAAAAGACGCGTTAGAACCGGTGCCAACTCAGGAGCACACGTCCTCAGCACAGTTGGGGGGATTCCGTCAGGCCCACTCGACTTGTGGATGTCAAGAGAGAGGAGTGCTCTGCGAACCGAGCGCTGTGAGAACCGCACATCCGGCATGGAGCACTCACACCGTGGGTTGGTCAGCGGTGTGTTCCTCCCGTCATCAACAGTCGAGTTGAACGCAAAAAGGGAGCCTAAAAGGTCGGCTTTCTCTTTTGCGTCGTGGACCAGTGAGTCGTCCTTCCTGTGCAGAGATGGTAGTGATGGCTTACAGAAATTCCCTTGGACAGCCTTGGCGAGAGACCAGAATGCACGGGTTCCCGAAGGAAGGCGAACTAGTTTCTCGCACATCTGCCTATGTGCTCTGACTTTGCCTTGGCAATAACTCTTTTGAAGGACCTGGAGGCGAAGTTATACTTCTTTTTAAGTATGCTGTTGTTTACATCCCGAGTCGCCGAAGCCGCAGCCCAGGCTTGATAACACTCCTGCTTCCGATGGGTACCACAGATGATGGAATAAATAGTTCCATTCCCTGTAGCACCACATCAGTGACAGAGTCAGCAACAGCGCTGGGATCATCCGGCGAGAAGCAAACCCGCCCGCCGCATGGGTAGGAAGCAAGGAAAGACCGCATTCCGTCCCAATTCGCTGACCTGTAATGCCAAATACGGCGGCAACCTGCAGAACGCAACCGCGAGGGGAGCGTGAGTGGCACCACACTCCGCATCAGACAATGGTGAAGAGCTAAGAGGGGCATCGACGGAAACCTGATCTCCGTCCGGATGAGAGGTCAGCAGAAGGTCCAACAGGGAAGGTGTATGATCCTCAACATCTGGAATCCGCGTAGGTGATGTAACCAGTTGTGTCAGACCATATGCCAAGGCAAAGTCATAAACAGATCTCCCCGCATGATCGGTTAAACATGAACCGAGCCATTCGGCGTGGTGGGCTGTAAAATCGCCAAGGATCACGATCTCTGCGGATGGGACCTGTTGTAGCAAGGAATCTGTAGCCATTTGGACGTGGTTGATGAGTCGGTCTGTTTCGGTATTACCGCTATGGGACCTATAGAGGCACCCGTAGACGCGCGGATGGTCATCGCTGTCTACGCGTAGCCAAAGGATGGACAGGTCCGAACCCTCAAGACTACCGAGGCGTCGAGAACAGATGTCATCTCTGACATACACGCAAACTCCAGCCCAAGGCACAAAGGAGTGCTCCAATTTGTGCCCCGGGTAGGAGAGATACGATGTATCAGCCGGAGAGGACACCTGCGTCTCGGTCAAAAAAGAGCAAGGCCGGCTTCGCCGGTTCGACTGAAGTTCCCTGATGTTGCAGAAATTCACGGATAGCGTGGCAGGGGTCGCCTTGGTCTGGTTGCTTAGTTTGCCCCGAGCAGTTATTGTGTTGAGCGGAATTTTGCTCCCTCCCCCTCCCCCCAGAATACGCGGGGCAGCCTGAGCACCCACGCTCTGGAGTGGAATAGCATGGTCGTGGATGCTCAGCGAGGGATTCTCCAGGGGTACTTGTATCCTCCTGGGGTAGTTTATAAAAATATAAAATAAAGTGAACGTTTCCAAAAAGACTGACCTAATTATTTTGTGATACCCGGCCAAATTTGTAGGGATGATTCAAAATAAATTATATAGGGAAATGGTACGGAAAGTTAATTAAATAAAATATCAAACATCCTGTCCTTTTTATCTCTAAAATTAACAATGCTTAATGCATTATATTAACTGACTTTTCCTCGACCGCATACATTCTAAAGGATCGTTTGGTAGGCAAAAATGTTGTTTCCCATACATCACTTTAAATTTAAGATAATTTAAAAAAAAATTAGAAGCTTTAGTTACTCGTATTTTCAAAACTGCAATAACGGAAAATCATTATTTATATATTTTAATATATGTAAGTATAAAATTTGGCTTCTCTTTGAAACAAACCAAATATATATATGTGTGTGTGTAAGTAATACAGCTTGATACGCAAATACCTTTTAATAGCTATGTAGATTAAAAATCTTGTAATAAGTGAAATGTATAAAAGCTGTATGTAGGTGTTGTGAATAAAGTAAATAATAACTTTATGGTTTGCTTTCAGTTTCTTCTTGTAGGATAATTTTTATATTAAAAATTTATATTACTTTTAGAATTGCAATATTTACGTACCTCATGTCCGGCTTTCGATAAAGTTCTTGCTATACCATTGCCTAATATCATGTGGCTTCTGCCTGGCATTGAAGCAAAAATGAGTATTTTGTACGCATCACAGTATAACGCTATAGCCAGAAATATGGTTAAATAACACTTTAAATCGGTGGCCATTTTCTGAAAAAAAAAATTGATAAAAATTTGATTTATTTTTCCACTAAGCACATTTGACCATCTAAATGAAAAACATAATATTTAAATAAAAGCATTGTAGCAGAATATAAAACGCAGTGCACGTCAATCTCTAACGATAATATGTTACACTATGAGATAATATCATTAAGGAAATAAATTCGGACCTTGGTAACAAATGTTTGATTTTTTTGTGATTCAGTTTATTTACGAGCTTTTATGTATATTGAACCTTCTTACAAAGTCTTGACGAAGAAGAACAAAATAGATAATGATGATAAAACAAAAAAATAAAAGGGTTTTTTTGTGCATACATTAAAACGCTCTATCAAGCTACTAGTAGTAAGTAATACTTGAAATATAGATTAGTAGTTCAAGCTACATATATGAAAGACTAGATATCAGAGCCAATATTCTTGTAAATAACAGCTTAGATCTAAGACACAATTTGTGTAAATAATAGCTATTAGTTAATTAATTAAGTTTTAGTCCTATGCATGTCATATGATTGTATAGTGTGTAATGTAAATGTTATTGATGTTTTATTATTGTTTAACTAAAAGAATTAAGATTAAGAGTTATTGTATGTAATTAATTTATATTTTGTTAAATAAATGCTTACATACATACACCATACTACACTCGTACACACACACATTCCCATCCCCTCCGACACTTCTCATTGGTTGATTAAGGACTGTGTATCTCTTATACGCCCTCACAAGCTGCGCTACCGGCAGCACATAATAAAAGGCGTACCGCCGCGCCGTCGACCTATGACATTACTTCACAGAGTTCCTTTATTACAGTCATCTTTTTAACACGTCACAATGCCCTACAACCCTACAAGTAACACTCCATATGAGCAGCTTCTGTTTCTTAAAGTAAGTCTTTCATTTAACTTCCCGAATCTACCTATGGTCAGAAGTCGACAAAAGAAACTTGTATTGCCCTGCTGATAATCCAACAATTGTCTTTGGCACCCAGGGTTGACTATCAGAAAATGCCACATGGCATTAAGTATGCCCTATGTATTACATAATTTATATTACAAGTAGTAATTTCATCACAAAACCGATCAAGTGCATGGATGACTTGAACACCGAAGGTATTCATTCTATTTTAAATCTATACATATAAATAAAATTTAAGTGCCTGACTGTAATATCGACATAACTACCTTTTAGTGGGCTGAGGGGGTTATTTGTATGCCATTAAGACATAAATAGCCATTTTTTTTTAGTTTTTCCTGCCTGCCTGCATATCTGATCTGTCTGATTTCGGTGATCTAGGCTACACTTTTCCAATAACAAAAGTTGTGGATATTTCTCTAAGTAATCGAAAAATTCATAAATAAATGATCTTACATTATTATCTTCAATCTAAATTATGTCACTATAATAGATCTTACACCAGCGAAGCCCATGTGGATCGCTAAATTTAAAATAAAACAAAGAAAATAAAAAAAAAGGTTATCAGTTACTTTAATTTATAAAAACATAGGGTTTCTTGCGTTGCAAACATCAATGATTAAGGAAGGAATGACGTATAGAAATCTATCACACTGTTACCTGGGGGGGGGGGGGGGGGGGACTATTGGGAACTATTATACTTAACTATGCGATCCCTGAATTTGTTAATTAAAAAAATTATAAGTACTGATACAAATACATGCAGTAAAGGAAAATATCGTAAGGAATTAAGGAATCTTGCATGTCTTATGAATTAAAAAATAATATTGCGATTAATTTGGAGTCCACAAACACGGGGTACTATTTATGGTGTAATTTTCCGCCCTGACTTTTTATTGTTAGCTTTATACAGCTACATTAAATTAAGAATATGAAATATATTATAATATTAATATAATAAAATAAAACAGGCACAATGGCGTTGACTTTTGAATTAATTTGTTGAATCACTGAGCGCATTTTTAATGGATTGTCTTTTATGTTATTTCAGTGAGAAGAAGCGTTGGTCGCACAAACTTTGAAAAATTAAGGATAGTTAGTCATAATAGTTGTACCCAAGGGAAACAGACAAACTATATACAAAACAAGGTACCTGCAAATGTATTCTGCACATGTGTCCGTATTATTAATCGTAAAATTGTGATTTTCCTTTACATTACTTTTCTACTTGGTACAGCCATAAAAATTACTGCAAAATTTTTGTGATAAAAAATAACTTAATTCTATATGTACATTGTACAATCATTTAAAGGTACGTACGTCCATAAGTATTTTATAATATAATACTAAGCCACGATATTTTATGAATATTACGCGAATATTACGGCTATTCCTAGAAATTAATCAAATCAAATCATTTATTTTCAATCCAAGAGAACATAATTGGTCTTAAATTAAAGATTTGCTTACAACTTAGACGCCCTTTTCAGGCACTGCAAATTGGCGAGGACACTGCTTACATACATAAAATATAAAATATACTTAGAATCTAAAAAAAAAATTAAAATACATCATAATAGTGTAATTTTTTATCTAAATACTCCTCCACCGAGTAGAAGGGGTTTTGCTTAAATATTTAATGAGTCTTGCTAGAAATTTGGTTAATTCTGAAAAAATTTTGCTTTCCTGTGGTAATTTATTAAAAACAGACATCCTAAGACACTACCTTGAGGGATTGAACATGTGAGGTCCGGGGTTTGAGATTGTACTACAGTGATTTCCCGTTTTTCTTCGTTGCGATGTTCGATTTTAACTATCTGCTTCCTGTTTATCAGATATGATTGGAATCGTTTATAGGCCGTTCCACGAATTCCCAAACCTCGTAATTTATTCTAAAGTATATTAAATTGAACTTTATCCTATGCTTTCGTCGTATCCAAAAGGGTGCCTATGGTGGCTCTTTTATTATCAATATGTTGCACTGCCGTTTGGATATATTTATATACTGCCAGAGTTGTTGATCTACTTTTTCTAAAACCATTCTGTGATTCATCTAATATATTGTATTTTTCTAAATAATTGTAGAGTCGGTTACACATGGCTTCTTAAAATATTTTAGCAAACGTGAGCAGCAGGGCTATGGGTCGATAGTTACTGAGCATTAGGGGGTCGTCTTTTTAAATATCGGTTTTATTAATGAAATATTTAGTGCATCCAGAAACTGAGAATATTCAAAACTTTGGTTTATGAGTGAAGCTAAAAGGATAGCTAATATTTCTGCACATTTCTTTACCAGGATTGGTGGTATACTCGTATCATCAATGCCACAGCTATGTTTATTTTTAATTATTTTCATTACTTCTGTTGGATCAAAGGAGGTTAAAAAAAAGAGTTTGGTGGTGGATTTATAACAGGATGTCTATTTACCGTATTATTGGAGTCAGAACATTGACCTGCAGTGGCAAATTTCTCATTTAACATATTTGTTACGATGTGGGGGGGGGGGGGCGAATTATTATTTATAAAAAAGGCATATAACAGAATAATATTATTAATAAAATAATTATAAAATTTTAATTAAAAATGTTAAATAGAAAGTAAAGAATATTTTTAAATAATGTCATAAATATTTTACCTGTCTCCAGCGCACGAATACACTTCAGTTGAATTTCAAAACAATATCTCTTACAAAATCATAATATTGTTTTCACCGTTTATTAAGTAGGCCGTAATCCGATAATGGTGTCGATGATAATTGGTGATAGTGACTAAACAAATATAGCCACTAAATTTATATTGACAAATATTTGGGTGTTGATCATTAGAGTCTAATGCACATAATATATTAATAATGTTGAGAGATCGATGTACATATGTTCTTATTTAAAATAATGTAAATTAAGAATAGAATAGAAAATAATTTTTGTGAACGCAGAAACATTTTCCATAAGTAACCCCACTGCTTCATGTAACAGAAAGCCTGCATATAATAAATCTGTAGAAAGTTACCTGCAATTCTAATATTTGTTAGAAAATCAAGTCCAGGGGACTACATTATAAAAACATAGACGTTACATATGAACTTTGTCTTGGCCATGTTCATTTTAAGAGCTAAGATTTTTTTTAAATTAAATTTAATAATATTCTGTCGTCGTGAGAGCTAGTAACATATATAAAAGTATATAATATTCCACCTAATGTTAAAAGGCTACTTCAGTCCATGGAAACAAACTAGGCTACAGATGCGTCACCACTGAGGACATAAATTAAAAGCGTGGTAGTGACCTAGACGGACTCAAAGGCAGAAAAGGAGTCCTAACACGAAGTATTCGTAGTTTTCATATTTGATAACATAATTTAGAAATTTCAGCAATATCTGATTGCAATTAACTAACGCAGCTTTAAACATAACTTGTAAAACTTTAGTGATAACGCAACGTCATCTAATGGGGCGATTTTTAACATACTCTGCGTTGCCGTTACCATGTTCACCACTGTAGAATGGGGGCTTTTTCATATAACTACTTTATATCACCGAGTAGCGGAGGTAACGACAGTGTACTTTATGTATTTATAAAGAAATTTTTGCAGATTATTTTTTAGTTTTTATATTATTTAGATGTCACTTGTCCGATTCCTTAATTAAATTGCCTTGAACATGAAGAGACCTTATCATTGTATCAACAACCAGGGTAAGTTTTTTATAGACAATGGGTGACAAACGAGCGCACAGTCCACCTGATGGTAAGTGGATGCTGTCGTGGTGTAGATATCTACATTTATCCACGATTAAGAATCCAAATGCAGTTGCGTTGTCACTCCTGAGGACCAAGATGTGATGCCTCGTTTGCAGTAAAAAGGGTCTCCGGTTCTCCACACTCACCATAGGAAACACAGCAGCATTAAGCTGCTATTTTATGCTGGTATTCTGTGAAAGCGTGCTCCCACTCCGGTCGAGCTGACCGATTCGTGCTACAACTATAATGTAGCTGCTGTGCGGCTTTACCACGTTAAAGATCTCACTACACTTACCGTATAAAAGACAGCAGCCTTAAGCTGCTATTTTACGCT